TGTTTTTTGATGACGTCTCGGGGTTTTTTGCAAACTCATTTCGATTGATTGATATGTGGACTGACGGGCGCACCTCGATTGGGCGCCAGCCTCCCGTGTCTCCCACGCTAACGCGCCCCTTCCCTTACAACGAGGAAAGGACCCGTGTTTGCGAGTGGGACGTACGAGAAGTTGTCGCACGGATCGGCGGACGATATTACTTCCCTCCCGAAAATCGTTGTTCTGGATTCGTGGACGCGGGCTTTGTCATTATCAATACGCACTTCCCACCTTACTAAGTATTGTTGCCATTTAATGAGCTGATTGTCATTCCGTGGATGGAAGTGGCGCCCCATTGGCCTCGAACCCTGTGCACTGAGTGCCAGCGCTTCGACCACTATGAATCAAAGGGCTTCCACTACCGATTGGAACTGACCAACGAGCGACGTCGGGACTTGATACGGAAACGGGACACGCGGAGTGTACCGAAGCCCTTTCGCTCTAAACGAAGAGCCGTACCGTGGTGGGAAGTTCGACAATACTTTTTGGATTGAATTTGGATTTTTCTCTTTTCGCGCCATGCCCGCGCGCGCATTCCGTGACGAGAGAAAGCAACCGACTTACTTCATCGGATCAACACGGGGGATTTCAGTTCTGTTTGTGTCCCCACACTCAATTTTCAAAAAATCGTTGGCACACCCCATCTTGTTGTTTTCCCAAGCCTTCTTTCCGCACCCTTAGCACTCCGAACGGAAGACAGCGCAGGGCGTGAGGTTGGTATCGAAGCCGACTCGTGTCGGTTCTGATGATAGTAAGCCGAACTGGCGAAAGGTAGAAGAAGTCCTCAACCTGCTCGTCGAGATCGCCCGGTGACTAGATCAAGATCTGACGAGGCTAGATCAGCTATGCGAATGACCGACGACAATGCAGCACCCCCAAGGGTGATTGTTAGTATCCCCGCCGCTTTTCTTTCTTTCCCAATCACACCCACCCCGAAGCTTGGTTGGAAGTCGTCCAAGCCCAAGGTTATAGCGCGAAAGATCTCCCCCGCGTCACCACCTTGTTGCTTCGTAACACGGCGCATGATTGGCTTAGGAAACACAGATGGGTAGATTGGAATACCTTCAAACAAGCATTTTTGGTCAGATTTGATACGGTCAGTGAAGATGCTGCTTGGTATGTACTCAAAACTCGACCGCAAGAACCTGGGGAATTGTTGCCTGACTTCGTGGATCGATTCCAAACCACGTTGGACAAATCACGGCGAGATGAAAATTCTGCCCGAGACTTGTTCATCGATCATCTACGAAATCCGACGCTAAAAGCTAAGCTGCAGAAAAAGGTTTCCCCTAAAACGAACCAGTTATCCGCTATCGTCGCCAAAGCGCTTGAGTTAGACCTGACGGATACAAAGAAGTATATCAGTCAGGGAGACAAAGACATTATAGACACGATTCAGGATGTAGCGGCGAAACGACGATCGTGGTTACGAGCGGTAGAGCGATTCTATCACCGGCCTGATCATGACCTTCCCGAAGGGGTCGCCTCTGATATCCCGCCAGCTCCTTCTCCCCCTCCTCCGATGAACCAACAGGTGGCGACTGTTAACCCCAGAAGCTCCCGAGATCCTGCCTCTATGTCCATAACCAATATGCACTTGGCACAGATGATCCATGCAGCTACCACTAAACAATCTGAATGGATGAGCAATCTGGTCCAAATACAGGCAGCTCACATGGATCGAATGAAACTGATTATGAGCAGGCTGATTAAGCCCAACCCGGCTCCTGCTCGACCTGCCCCTGCATCATTCCCGCTTTTGCCTGCCCCGCCTGCATCTGGACATGCACCACAGTTCCCTCATGCAGCTAACCTCGCAGGGAAGATTGAGTGTTACAATTGCAAACAGCCCGGGCATTTTTCCCGGGACTGTCCGCAGCCAAAACGAAATCAACCCCCACGTGCCGCAGCCCCCGTAGCTTTGAATCAAGGACGAGTAGCTGCACTAATGGATACGGTCTGAAATGAGGAGATCATCGCTTACGCCCCTAAGCGACCTTCCCCCTCAATTGCAGTTGCATCGACCTCAGGGACTTCTTCTTCCGAAGCCGCTGACGTGGTTGACCCGGCCGAATACCTTCATCTCGCCGGCATGGTCGGAGCAATCCAACCGGCTCATGACGATCTTGAATGGGTCGAGTGCGAATCTAACCCTGGACCACAGTTTCGGACAGGAGAAATTGATGTGCTACGAACGCTTAAGTAACTGGACATTTGCGTTTGGGTCCCAGTGGGACATTTGCTCACCATATCCGAAGCTGCAAATGACAAGTTGTTGCAACAATGTCAGAAGAATCAAAAACGCTTTACATATCAGCACATACAACGAATGTTGAAAAAGAAAAAGGAGGAAGAAGCAGAGGGTGTTGCACCACCTGAACCCGAAGTTGATGAACCCGAAACCGCGCGAGTAGCTACGATTTCTTTAGCTGAGAAAGACCATTTCGTGCGAGCTCGACCAGTGTTGAGGAAAAGTGTTGAATGTGATTGTGAAATATGGGGCAAACATTTTAACGCCCCTATCGATATTGGATCCTCCGCGGTCGCTATATCATTAGATACGGTGAAAAGAACGGGACGACTCAACTCGATTCTCCCTCAATCTGGCAAGACAACTACGTCTCTGCCGACGAGGAAGCAATGAATATCGTAGGAGTCATTGAGAATGTGGCCGTGAAAGTTGGACGAGTGCACGTCCTCGTTAACGCCTTGGTCATAGATGTGCACTCATATTCGGTGTTGTTGGGACTGTCTTGGGCAAAGGCGGTAGGTGCCCGCATGCATTTCGATTCCAAACAGTTGGTGCTTACGCAAACAGGAGGAAAGCCTCAGACAGTTCCGTTGCGGATTTCCACCCGAACAGCGAAAAAAAATCCTAATTCTGCTCGGATAGGGATGATTCAAGGTCCCGATCACAAGGAATTTCCATCTCCGAATAATAGTAGCGGATTCGAAGAGTAGGAGTGCGAAGAAGAGATGCCTAGTGAGAGTGAGTGGAAACACTTAGTCGAACTTTTCGAGCACGAAACTCAAGAGGAATTTCGAATGGTTCCGAGAACCACACGAACTTTTTACTTGAGTCTGAAAGATAACACGCTCGCACCTATGGAAGCCCAGGTCAGTCCCTCGACCTTTCTCGGGGAACCCATCTTGCAAATATCCGACCTGGCAGACGATTTGGAACCCAAAGTGCGAGGGAACACTTTCCCTCTGAACGCGCTATCAACAGGTGAAACAATACCTGGAAGTATTTGTTTCCCTTTCGAGGTCGCTGCTTACAACAGGAGTGACCATCGCTCTGATAAAACAAGAAGCCGAAGCTCCCGTCGACGATGTGCCCGATCTAATGCAGGAAATGGTGGATTTAACAGGACTAACCATGAAAGAAACTACGGCCGACTCGGAAACTGACGCTGAAATTAAAGAGACCGAGATGATTAGCCCTGCCGAATCACAGATGATTGTGACTGTATTTTTTGTTCGCACTAGCAACTCTATTTTCTCTAGCGTCCATGACCGACGGAATCAACGTGATGATTGGATCGACATGCACCTTGAGATACCCGATCGACCGACAGTCACTCTGCCGAATCACGTCCCCCTGGAATTTCGGAAATCACTGATTAATGTCTTGAATGGGTACTTAGAAATATTAAGTGTGTACGATAACGATATCGGACTGTCTAACGTGATTGAGCATGCCATCCTTACGGGGGATTATCCACCCATTAGCTGCATTCCTTATCGATACTCGTCAGCCCAACGGGTGGCCGCGTTTCAGCGAATTAAGGAATTCGAAGCTAATGGATGGATCGAATCAGCTATAGGACCTTGGTCGTTTCCGGTGGTAATCGTGCTAAAAAAGGCCGGAGGGATCCGCATATGTATCGATTATCGGAAGCTAAACGATATCACGATCAAAAATGTGTACCCCCTTCCCCGGATTGATGAGTTGTTGGATGCGATTGGGAGTGCTCAATTTTTCAGAAGTTCGATGTTCGTCATGGGTTTCATTATCTTCTTGTTCGAGAGGAGGATCGTCCGAAAATGGCGTTTGTGTTGTTCGAAGGTACTTGGCAATGGATTCGATGTCCAATGGGCATCTGCAATGCTCCTGCAACCTTTCAGCGAGCCATGAACATGGCTTTTCAGAACTTTGTGCGGAAGACACGTCTGGCGCAGAGTATCATCAACTATTGTGTGATTCTGTACATGGATGATATTCTGGTGTATTTGAGTTCTTACGAGGGGCATGTGCAGCACATCGAATGGACGTTGCATGCATTGAGGGATGCCTGTTTCAAGGTGGCGCTTGAGAAATACCAGTTCTTTCTCACCACCATTTCCTTCCTGGGACACGTAGTGACAGACCAGGGACTCGGACCGAAACCTCAAAAGGTGGCAACTATGAGAGACGCGCCCGTACCAACGACTATCACGCACGTTCGCGCCTTTCTGGGACTATCAAGGGCTTCGCGACGATTGTGGGTCCCCTCACGAATCTCCTGAAAAAGGATCAATCGTTGATTTGGACGCCAGAGTAAGATCAAGCGTTTTCGAAACTCAAGGCAACTCTTATTTCGACTCCGGTCCTTATAAGGCCGGATCCCGAAAAACCTTTTTTCCTCATCACGGACTGGCAGCCGGAGGCAATCTCAGCGATCTTGGCCAAGGTGGGACCGGGCGGGCTCGAATACGTGGTGGAATACGCGTCTAAGTCAGTGCCTGTTTGCAAGCGCAATTGCGCCGCCCCGACAGGAGAATGCTATGCGGCTCTGTGGGGAATCAGTCACTTTCGAGCCTATCTGTATGGGCGGAAGTTCACGCTGGTGACCGATCATGAGCCATTATTAGCCCTGAAGAAACTCGGGCATGATCGGGAGATGGGCAACAGTGCTACATAGCATGGACTTTGACATTCGTCATCGGAAGCATGAAATGCACAGGAATGATGACGGGCTGACACGACTGCACCGACCCAAGAAGGTCCCCAAGAGCGAGGAGGTGATTCCGTGGAACGAGCCGAAGGATGAGAACGGACCACGGTACGGGCAAGTGGAAATTCTATCGAAGAAGTGAGCGACACGGGGCCTTTGCTCTACCCTCTCTGCAGCCTTGCTCTCTCTCTCTCTCTCTCTCTCTCTCTCTCTCTCTCTCTCTCTCTCTCTCTCTCTTCCCCTCTCATCATGGCTACCCCACCTGTCTCTGCGACCCCTTCTTCCCCTGCCGATTCCGCCCCTCTCAGATCCTCGGCCTTCTTTACCACCCTTCCTGATAAATTCTGTTATTTTTGCACGTGTATTACACGGGTTTATGGGGTGGACTGTCATCCTTTTGAGACCGGATTCGTTGATTGGGTGGACTGTGCCACGTGTGTCAATCGTGCGCACAGTGGATGCGTTCGATACCGAACGAGTAGTAAGGTATGGAAGTGCCCTCTGTGTAGAACGGACATACTCCCCACTGAGGTTCGATTCGAGGCTGCTCGAACGGATGGCCCTGAATATGACGAGAAATACCGACGAGCAGAGGTCTGGACGGATAAAATTATATTAGCTAAATTGGTTGGTTTACCATTGGATCATCTCACTAAGCATGACAGACGTCGGGCTACCGAGAGATCCCGGGATTACCGATGGATCCACGGTCACCTAGAAAAGCGTAAGACTGACGGATCGGGTTTGTGGTTGACGGTTCCCCATCCATTCCAGAGATATGATTGGACCCGATCTGCTCACGAAGAGCAGGCCGCTCATTTCGCGATACGTATCATTGAAGCGACTATAGATCAGAATCGATGGTTCTGGTCTAATATACGGGACGATGTCAGATACGTGGTCGCCAACTGTCTGGTCTGTGCCGCCGACCGTGCCCCAATACGGGGACCAAACACGATAGTGTCGACGGAAGTAGAGCGCCCTTTCCAGCGAGTTAGTATGGACACGACAGATATCGACGTGCCACCTGGCCCAAACCGTTGCGAATAGTCCATCCTTTTAGTGTTAATAGACCATTTTTCCAAATATATCGAGGTCTACCCCTGCAAGACGCGTAAGGCCACAGAGATAGCCACGTACATCGATCGGTTTTTCTATACCCACCTAGATACGGAAGAGATTTTAACCGACAACGGGTCCGAATTCAAAGGCGAGGTAGAGGAATTGCTCGCGCGCCGAGGCATTACACTTCGACACACTTCCCGGTCGAATGGGTTGGCCGAAAATGCCAATCGCATGATAAAGACTGCCCTTCGTAGAAATTTAGCGGCGCATGACACGCGTCCGTGGCCCGAAATCGTATACCAAATCACCGGAATTCATCGGGCCACCCCTCACGAATCCACGGGGTTCACCCCATTTCAGCTTCGCACCAACAGCCTCCCATGTGTCGATTATCGGGGCAACTCGAAAATTGCCGAAGCAGGGGGTAGAGACACTCGTGCCGCCCTTAAGGCCAAGGCCAAAAGGTACGCCGATTTGATGGAAAAGGTCGTCCCGAAACTAGCCCGAAAGAGACAAAAAATGACCGATCTAGCCCACGGGAGGCAAGTCCGTAGCTACGAGGCCCGAAATGGGAATGTCGGTCCCCAACGTCAATATAAATTAGGGGACCTGGTGCAGGTACGTAAATGTGCACGCGACCGGAAACTCGCTCCCAAGTTCTCTGGCTGTTTCCGCGTTGTTGAGCTCGGACCCAACGGTGCCAACACGGTGCGCATTGCGCCCGAGGCCAGCGCCAGCCATAGCTCTGTCCCCATCGTCCGCCATACCTCTTATATCCGTCCCCTCCCTCCTTCTGATCTCCCTCCGTCTCCCTCATCTACTGAAGAAGAAGACGACGACGATCTAGCCCCCGCCTCGTTCCCTCCCTCTTGTTCCCATCTCTCATCTTCTTCCCCGTCCTCGCCATGAGTTTCATCACGGAGCAAGCCCTTGGCAATCATCTGCTGCAGCCACGTGGCTACATCTCGGAGATCCGGCAGGTTCGTCATCCGCGGCTCAGACCTGATCTTCAACGACCGGCGCAGTTCTTCTGCACCGAGGGTGTGTGTGCCGCCGCTGCGTTCCGATTCGCAGGAAGTCCGCAGGCAGTAGTATTGGCAGAGGTGGTGGCAGTCCATCGGTGGGCGGCTCAAAGAATGAGCCACGTCACCACGGTCGCTGCCTTCAGCGGCGATATCAGCGCGGTCAACTCGCTTCGGCAGAACGCGATCCTGACCTCCTTACGAGAGTGGTCGCAACAGCTATCGGTTGAGTGGCATCACCGTTTTGAGCGGCCTGGGTACAACCTCGTCCCGACGTACGGGACTGACTTCGACGGGATCCGCACCTCTACGCGCCAGCCGGCAGTGGTCCTCCCCACACCCGTCCCCTTCCAACGCCCCCAATGAACTGCATCGCTCCTTCCGCTCCTCTCTCCACCTTCGGCCTTCCCTCTCTTTTCCCCACCTTCTGGCAATCCGATCTTCATCCTCGTCTTTTTTTATTGCTCGAGCCCCTTGTTGTCCCGCTCCTCGATCCCAGGCATTGGAGGGCGTGGCGCGAGACTTTTGTTGATCTGTCTGTGTGCTTGGCCAGAGTGACGGTGATGTGGACGCGGACCGACGAGCATAAGGGGTGGATTGAGTACATGGAGCTGCTGATTATCCAGGCTTCGAGAACTGACATAGAGGGCGATCTTCTCGGGTTTCTTTTCGGATCGGTGCGGCCGGGCCATCACCAGCTAATTGCCCAGGAGCTCGTCGTCCCACTCGTGCAACTGGTCGACGACCTCTCTCTCGACATCTTTTCACAAAGTGACGAGAGTCCGGCTCTGCACGTCTTTACGTGGACCTTGGCCCCATATCTTCAATGGACTGCGTACTTGGAGGAACCAGGGAGTGAAAGTGCCCTGCCGTCGCAGCAGGAGTACTTGAAGCTGAACGGAATCATCAATCTTGCCTTCTATCCGAAGCAAGATACGTCTAAGGAGGCGGTTGAAGAAGAAGAAGAAGAAGGAGAAGAAGAAGAAGGCGACGTCGAAGAAGAAACGTCGGAGGAGGGGAGTTATAGTGAGCACAGTGAAGGGGAGCAGAGTGTAGAGGAGGAGGAAGAAGAAGACGACGAAGAGGAGGAAGTCGGATCGGAGTGGAAAGCCTTGCTGGAAGAAGCGGCGCACACAGACACCGAGGCGGAAGATCCCGAGGCGGCACGTAAGAGGGAAGAAATCGCCACCGGAAAGAGGCAGCTGGAGTTCGCCAGCGGCGCGAACCTGCGCATCAACAACGACCCGACCCGGGATCCGGAGCCCCCTAAGCCCGAAGATGACGACCCTACGGCCACGACTCCGAGCGCATCGCGACGGAGACGGAGTCGATCCCCCTCCCCCTCCACCTCAGCCCGTCCCCCAATTCGTCCACGTACCGATGCGGGGGATCGGCCTTCGTCCCCGGTCATTATCCCGCCGTCCCCTTGATTACCTCGCCCTCTGCCAGATCTCTACCCCCGTCACCTTCGCTCGCAACCCCTTCCCTCCCAATACCTTCCATCACTTTTATTCCATCCGCCTCGCCGTCACCGTCCATCCCCAGCCTTCCCTTCAATGCGCAACCCCCGTCTTCTGTTTGCATGTCCTTTTGTTTAGTGTCACATGGGAGCAGAGCAACGCAGTAGAAGTCTACTGCATAATCACAGGAACCATCCCCTCATGCCGCAATCACGAGCCATTTCGCGCGGCGCTCTTCCGCACTTTCTCCACTCTCTACCCTGACTACCTCGCCTCCCTCCCTCACAGCGGCGACCGATTTCCCCGCTTTCACCGGATCATCCGCTACGAGGAGCTTCCAATGACAGTGGAAGGGATGGACCGCTATTTAACCCCACTTCCTCCCAACCCTCCCCGTCGTCACCCCTCCATGTACAATGTCTACTTTCCCATTCCTACGCGGCACTGATACCCACCACGTGTCACGACGGTGGCCCATCCCACCCTCTTCTTGTCAATAACCATTCTGGGGATTAGGTGATTAGGCTTGCCACACTGGATGACATCCACACTCTTTCATACGGTAAGTGGCATATGGAAGGTTCTCCGTGGCGACCGATTGAAGAGATCGACACGTGTCCCCCGGGCAGCATGAATCAGCAGTTTTGCGAAGATCACGCCATTGACGATGACGTCAACACATGCTCTGATTCGACGGATTGCGCTGGACTAAGAGTGCAGAGCACACGGATGATGGACCATGACAGTGCCACCTGGACGATCTCCGAAGATCGAAAGGCAGGGGGTTGCATATGATAGGACTGCAGAGGATGGGATCCAAAACAGCACGAGTCGGCATGCATCACGGAGATCTTGCCACTGATGTTATTGCCAACCCACATCCTGGCTCAGTTTTCCCTGCTGACATGGATTGTGCTGATCTAACTTTTTCCTTTTCCTGCTTCTTGGTCTCCTCTCACTTCCTTTGTTCAAGGTTTCATGCAATCAGGAGATCGCATAGTTTTGGAACCCCCTGCGCGTCATATATGTGACGAACTACTTCCTGACCCCGTGCTATCTTTCGTACCCCTTGACTTAATTCCCTCTTTTGTATCATACTGACCCAACAAAGCCCCCGTCGCTTTTCTTGATTTCAGGTGCCTTGTTTAGGCCCCTATTTTTCGGAGGGTCTATCGATTCTTGAATTCTGTTTTTTTTTGTAATTCGGGAAATGCATGAAAAATTGTGTGCGTCTGAGCGAGCGCACTAGGAATCGGGCTCAACAGTTAGGAATTCTGGAATAAGCGGAACCCGACGTGTCCTCATGAATGTTCTCGGTCACGTTGGAGAAAACTCTAGAAATTTTGTGAGAATACGGATATGCATAGGACTTTTTTTTCCCGCGTCGACTTTCGCGCGCGGATATGGTGATTTCAATTTTTGAATTAGATTAGGACGTAGGCAAGCTGTAACTATTTTTGTGCCTTTTTCTTTTGTTATCGGCGCCGCGCATGCAAACTTCCTCCCCCTTATTTCTCGCGTCATTCTTCCCCCGTGCTCTCTTCTCTCTCCCTTCCCCCTCCTCTTCTTCTCCTACCGCAACTGTTTTTCCTCTTTCTGCTCTTTGCGCGCCTGTTTTCCTTTCTTGATCATCCGAATCTTGGACCCGTCTCGCGCTGCTTCTCACGCCTCTTTCCTTCTCGCTCTTCAACCTTGGCTCGCGAAGCCCGGTTGATCCTCCGATTACCCCCGCTCACCAATCAGACGCGTTGAGTAAGAGGATCTTCCTATTGCGCGATGAATCTGATTGGCTGAACATTGGTTCCGAAGGATCAACATGGCTTCCCTTGAGCGCCCCCCGCTGAATCTTCTCCTCCTACACCTCGATTTCCCCTCCGCCTTCTTTTCCTTTTGTCTTCCTTCTCGCAACTATAAATTCCGCAAGCGCGCCCGCAAATCTCTCTTACGTTTTCCACTCGCAAGCCAACTTCTGGGAAGCAGTGGCTAGGTGATGCGTTTGGTGCGAGTCGAAAAGTCCTCACGGGCTGACTATAGGCTGGCCGGTTGCGCGCTTGATCGCCACGACGGACTTTGGGATCTGGGCGAGCCGTGTCGAGCTTGCGTCAGTGGGGTGACGATCGCAGCGGCGGGAGTTAGCACGCGACGGCCGGGATCGTTGGTGCGGGTATGAGGATCGGTAATTGGAGTTGAGTGGATGATTGGCCCAGGGCCATATTGGAAGCCGAACGTTCTCTCGTCAGATTCCAGTGTCTCTTGTCTCGATATTTCTCGCCCATCTCTTCCCTTTTTCATCTGAATGACGATGTGTTATGAGTCTATCTCTCCTGTGAACAGAAGTGAAACCTTGTGATTTCCTGTGAAGAAGAACTTCTTCCGGAACTCTTCCATTAGTTTCTTGGGTAATCCCCAGATGCAAAGGAACTCAATCATCTTATTTTGTGAACGATGGATGCGTATGTACAATCCCCCGATTTATTTCTGATTTGTGCATCATTGTCATTTTCGCACCTTCCACAGTGGATGTATGCATAGAAATGCTTGTATGTGAATT